CAAACAAAAATACCAGAAACCACAGTAAACAGAAAAATAAACTGCATTTTAAGTGAAATTAAGAAACACAGTTCTGAAGTCAGAGTATATGTAAGGGAGGCCAAAGTACCTAGGTCTGTAGTATCTCCTGCTCAGAGTACCGAGACATCTGTAGTCATCTGTAGTCAGAACACAGCAACTCGCTGATACTGTGTTTTAAGCTTTAAGCCAGGAACTGAGAAGACGGCTCAGTGATAGAGTGCTTCCCATGGAAGCATGAAGATCTGGATTAGGATTTCCAGCACCCATGTGAAAGCAGCAAACATCTGTAACCCCAGCACTGGGGAAAAGCAGGGCGAGTGGATAGCAGGGCTGGTTGGCTCAGTAAAAGACCCTGTTTCAAAAAATGAGGAAGAGAGTCATAAAAGACAGCCAGCATCAACTTCTGGCATCCATATTTATGTACCACACAAAAAAACAAAATTGAGAGAGCCTCATCACCCATTCTGTTTTCAGCTAAAAAAAAAAAAAAAAAAGAAAAAGAAAGAAAGAAAAGAAAAAAAAAATCGGTTCAAACCAAATGGTGGCCTCGCCTCACTGCTACAGGTGCCACTGGAGCATGCTGTCTGTGGTCTGCAAAGACAAGATCCACACGTTATCCTTAGAGCTGAAAGGGCCCATTCCTTACCACTTGACAGAGCCCTTTCCTGTGATAGACATGTCTTATGTCTGTGTAAACACCCTGAAACTCTTTGCTTGCTCACGGCAGTTTGTGTTCACAGGAAGGTAGATGAAAAGAAAGTCTTGTGTATCCAGGAGATTGATTGGGGAACCACCTGAAAAGGCTAAGGGGAGGGTGGGTCAAGAGGAAGCAGAGAAAGCTTCAGACCAAGGTACAGATTTGACACCTGGGAGAGGAGGGGGAAAAAATCAAGAAAGAAGAAAGAGTCTCAGACGATAGCCAAGTCTGTAAAGTTTTGTCCAGACTACAAGAATAGCCCTAAGCACTGAGATGTCAGATGAATTCCTTGACCTATTCAACAGGCCTAAATTTGTCTTTGGTTGGTATAGTCTTCAGGAGCCTGACCTCAGCACAAATGTGATATATAAGGACAGCAGCTGGACTATCTGTCAGCTGGACCTGCAACCCCACAAGCCCACATTTATCCAAACTCTGGAACTTCCTTTACAACAACCTACCTGTTGGGGACAGTTATTTGTTTTATTGTTATACAGTACTTTTTAAAATCTCAGCCTTCCTGGCACCTAGAACACTGATTAGGTATATTAAATCTTTGCCAATTAGAATTATGTAAACTATTACAGACTGAGCAGCGTGTGTGTGTGTGTGTGTGTGTGTGTGTTGTTCATTTCTATCCTTTATTGTTTTTGAATTGTTTCTTCTTCTTCGTTTCATTTCTAGTTGGTACCATTCCTGAACAGTTTAGTCAGTGCTGCTGTGGGCATCCTCAGGGCCATGAAGCCAGGAGTAGACACTCCTCAGGTAGGAAAATATATTGTATTATGAGTGGATTTGAGTTATATTTTTCCAGTCTTCTTAAAAGAACAGAATTGATATGAAATATTCCCTCTCCTGTGGTGTCTTTTTAGAATTTTTATCTAATGTTTTTAATATATCATATATCTAGTATCTCCTTGTGATCATAAGATTCCTTTATAATAATTAACCTTAAGGAACAAGGGACTAGGTATGTAGCTCAGTTGGTAATGTACTTGCCTAGCGTGCACAAAGCCTTAGGTTCAGTCCTCAGCACCACGTAAAATCATGTCTGTAATCCCAGAACTCTGCAGGATTAGAAGTTCAAGGTCATACTCAGTTAAATAGCAAGTTAGAGGCCGGCATGTGATCTATGAGACTCTGTCTCAAAAAAAAAGGAGGGAAGAAAAAATTTTAAAAAATGTGTGTGCGCGTGTTTTTATTGTTGTATTAGATAATGCATATTCCTGGAAAGGTACATATAAATCATACTTTTATAAGTCAAATTTTCTGTGTGAACATGTAAAGAGTTAAATAATTAAAGAAATCCCATATTAACAATCTCACTCATTCTGTTTAATTTTTTATATTTTCTTTAAAGGAACATTTAAATAAATTTTCTTGATCATGACATTTACCACAAATTTTACCTTCCTATTTATTTAAGTTTATTTTCTATAAAAAAAAAAAAAATAGGATAATGGGGGGTGCTAGAGAGATGGCTCAGTGGCTAAGAGCCCTGGCTGCTCCTCCAGAGGTCCTTAGATGGAATTCTGATGCCCTCTTCTGGCATACAGGTGTATATGCAAATAGAGCACTTATATAAAATACATAAATAAATAGTATTTTTTAAAGTAAAATAATGTTCTTAATAATAAATGTCAGGTTTGGAATGAGATCAAGCAGGAATAATCAGTAGCAAAGCTCTAATTGTTTTGTTTGTTTATTTGTTTTTTGTTTTGTTTTGGGTTTTTCTATTTAGTTCAGGCTACGCTGGGCGGTGGTGACACATGCCTTTGATCCCATCATTCATGAGACAGAGCCAGGCAGATCTCTGTGAGTTCGAGGCCAGCCTGGTCTACAGAGCGAAATCCAGGACAGGCACCAAAACTACACAGAGAAACCCTGTCTCCAAAAAAAAATCCTTATTTAGTTCAGGCTGTCTTGGAACTGTCACTATGTAGACTAGGCTGGCCTTGAACTCACAGAGATCTGCCTTCAGAGTGCTGGATTAAAAGCATGCTCAGCCTCCAATGGTAATTTTTATGTTGTTGTAATTATTGGATGGCTTGTCATGTAATTGGGTTTTTTGTTTGCTTCTTTGAGACAGGATCTTGCTAATATAGTCCCAGGATGGCTTTGAACCTGAGATCTTCTTACTTTAGCCTCTCAACTATGGGATTACAAGTGTGCACCACCAAATCTGGATTTAGTGTCTGTATTTAGAAGATAATACTTTGGGTACTAGGAATACTTTCGTGCTCTTAATGTCATAACCAAATTAGTAATAGTTTGGTTTGCAAAAAACTTTAGAGAATGTCTTAGTGGAACTTAAGTATTAGTGACCTTTGCTGGGCAACAACATGATTTATGCGGGAAAGGGATGCCTAGTCTCTTAGGTAGATGTGTTGCCTGCCTGCCTGTCTCTCTCCATGTCTCAGACAATGTGGAGGGCAGGGACCACCACCTGAGGTTGCTTCTCTGACCTCCACATGCACTCCATGATACACTCAACTGTCCTTGGACATGCACATTTACACAGATTGCCTTTTTTATTTCCTGTGTTTTATCTCTGCACTTCTCTATGGGTTTTAATGTTGCCTTCATTTTGTTGATAGGTTCTCCAGTGCCACAGACCCAGTCACCACAGTCACTCTTACTGGGTGCTAGACTGCAGAGCGCCCCCACCCTCACTGATATCTATCAGAACAAGCAGAAGCTCAGAAAGCAGCACTCTGACCCCGTGTGTCCATCCCATGCGGGAGCTGGGTATAGTTACTCACCTCAGCCTAGTCGGCCTGGCAGCCTTGGAACCTCTCCCACCAAGCACATGGGGTCCTCTCCACGGAGTTCTGACTGGTTCTTTAAAACTCCTTTGCCAACCATCATTGGCTCTCCTACTAAGGTGTGTTTCTTAAGCCCTTTTATACTTCTGAACTGGTACTTGATGAAAGGATTCATCGTGAGAATAGTTACAGTTGTAGTGAACAGTTACTGGGTTGAGGGCTCTCCTTTCATAAAAGGAAATTGAGCCTAAAGAGCTGAAAGGAACAGCCCAACATCACACGTTATAAATACAAAGCCAGTATCTGAATCCACATCTAAGTCCCAAAGCAATACTCATGACCAGTGTACCATATATTCTGTTGATTCTGAACATTTTGTATGTCATATTAACTAGCTTATATATGTTTCTTTAGACTACAGCTCCTTTCAAAATCCCTAAAACACAAGCATCTTCTAACTTGTTAGCCTTGGTTACTCGACATGGGCCTGCTGAAAGCCAGTCCAAAGATGGAAATGACCCTCGTGAATGTTCCCATTGCCTCTTGGTACAAGGAAGTGAGAAGCAACGATCTGAGCTGCAGAGCAAGGCAGTATTTGGCAGGTAAAAGACTGTTTTCTCTTTACCCTTTAACATGAAAACTAATCAATAAATCAATGTGTTCTGTTGTAAAAAGCAATGAGATTCATTAGTTTAGTAGGTGGTTTATGCCATGCGATTAATAATATGTACCATATACATTTGGAATAAGTTGGGGAGAAGAGGGTTTATTAGGCTTACACTTTCACATCACTGTTCATCACTGAAGGAAGTCAGGACAGGAGCTCAAACAGGGCAGGATCTTAGAGGCAGGAGCTGATGCAGAGCCATGGAGCGGTGCTGCTTACTGGCTTGTTCTCCATGGCTTGCTCAGTCTGCTTTGTTGTAGACCCCAGGACCACCAGCCCAGGGATGGCCTTCTCGACCCACCGTGTGCTGATCCCTCCCCCACTGATCACTAGAGAACATGCCTTACAGCTGGATCTCATGGAGGCATTTCCTCAGCTGAGGCTCCTTCCTGTCTAATGACTCTCGCCTATATCAAGTTGACACACAAAATCAGCCAGTACAGAGAGCTCTTCCTGAGTTTCTTGAATAAACTATTTCTTTTATTTTGTTTAGAGAAGTTTATTTATACCCTGAATTTATTTTATTTTGTTTTATTTTTTCACATCTCCAACAGATTTATTTTTAAAGGAATGGCCTAAGGGAGGAAAAACAGGGTACAGAAGTGTGGACTAGAAAATAAATACAAATGTAAGCTGTTTACTATTTTATAACCACAAACTCGTGCAGAGGGTGATGCCCTGTACAAAACACAACAGAGCCGGGCGGTGGTGGCGCACGCCTTTAATCCCAGCACTCGGGAGGCAGAGCCAGGCGGATTTCTGTGAGTTCAAGGCCAGCCTGGGCTACCAAGTGAGTTCCAGGAAAGGCGCAAAGCTGCACAGAGAAACCCTGTCTTGAAAACCCAAAAAAAAAAAAAAAAAAAAAAAACCACAACATATTCAAACGAGGTGTTCCCTTAGCAAGGCTAAAGAGTCAGTCTCTGGTATTTGGAATTTAGGATGCAGTCCTTGTTTTTGGGTGGATCACTGGGTGTTTGGCACAGTCCATGCTTTTAACCAGATTTGAACAGAAGACTGGCCACCTGACCCAGGTAGAAGTAGATGAAGTGTTTGGTTTCATGTGTCACATAACTACCGAAGTTCTGCCCCACAATGCAGTGCCAGGTGGGGTTGTACTTCTTGTCAAACTCTGTCTTGATATGGGCCGCAATATCCTTCTCTATGTTATACTTCTCCAACACGTGAGTCGCGCACTCCACTGAGTCCTCTTGCATCTCTTCCGACATGTCTGCGTTTTTGATCAACGCCTTCTGGTCGCACATGGTTGCCGTGAAGCAGGGGCCAGCCAGCTGCTGCGAGCTCCTAGGGAAGGTGCTGGCGCCGCTCAGGCAGCTGAGGAGAGCCAGTCGCTACCGAAGCCGTGGCACATCTCCCCTGAATTTATTTTTAATCGGTTTTTGAAAAGGTGTTTTCCTATTATTCACATCACTATTCTTTTCAGATCTGTCAGTACTGGGAAGTTATCAGACCAACAAGTAAAGGCACCTCTAGGTGGACACCAGGGCAGCGCAGATAGTTTAAATACAGAACGACCAATGGATATAGGTAAGAAAATTTTCTTAATTTGTCAACAGGTAATTGGTTAGCATATGCATAATTTATTACTTTATAATAAACTGTCACAAGCTTGGTGGCTTAAAACACACAAATATATATTCTTATACATATATATTTGTATATGTATAAGACATGACAGGTCATTCCTCTCATCTCCTCTTCCTTCTCAGCACCCATCCAAACAATCTTACTCAGTATCTTGATGAGCAGTACTCTATGACTGGAAGATTTGTGACCAAAATGTTATCGTCAGTAGGATTGTCCTGGCCAAAGTTCCCTAAGCACAGTGCTCCCGAGCCTGTTTCTTGAATAGCAACTGAATCCCAGAAAGATGCAATCACTAAGGCCCCTGAAACTTTCAGAGTTGCTCTAGGGCGTGTATCTATTGACCACTCCTTTCTAGATTATCTGAACTGTTTATCCAAAAAAATCAACAACAAACAAACAATCAGAAAAACATCAGGGAGATTCCATGCCCTTATCCCAGACTTGTTTACAATTAAAATTTCTGGAATATATTCTAGAAATACCCAAGTACTATATACACCCAAATTTTGCAATCTATCATAAACTTCTTGTTTTCTGTTTGTTTGTTGTTTTTTTTTTTTTTGTTTCTTTGAGACAGGGTCTCCCTTCATATCCCTGGCTATCCTGGAACTTACTGTATAGATGAAGCTGGCCTAGAACTCAGAGATATACTTGACTTTGCCTCTTGAATGTACTAGGATTAAAGGCTTGTGCCACCATGCCCAGCTCTCTATTGTCTTTATTGCATCCTTAAAAGAAAATCTTGGGCCAACCAATTACCTGCTTGTATTTGTTTTCTATTAATTCATTCATTCATTCATTCATTCAGTTATTTATTTATTTATTTGTTTGTTTGTTTCTTTTTTCGAGACAGGGTTTCTCTGTGTGGTTTTGGAGCCTGTCCTGGATCTGGCTCTGTAGAGCAGGCTGGCCTCAAACTCACAAAAATTCACCTGTCTCTGCCTCCTGAGTGCCAGGATTAAAGGTGCGCGCACCACCACCTGGCTATTTTCTTATTTACCATTTTAGGTTGTCTTTAGTTGCTTCTGTGGATTTGCATTTCCATCTAATGTTATTTTCTTACTCGAATACAGCTTTGTTCCCATCTTCATTCTTAGTATTATTAGCTAATAAATGACATTTTTTATGTTACAGGCCCAACAACAAAACTATATGTTGTTTTTTTTAGATTTATTTATTTTGTGTTATGTGTATGAATGTTTTGCCTTTATGTATGTATGTGCACCATGTTTGTGCATGTTGCACATGGGTTACAAATGGTCGTGAGTCACCATGTGAGTTTTGTAAACCAAACCCAGGTTCTCTGCAATAGCAACAATTGCTCTTAACTGCTGAGCCATCTCTCCAGCTCCATGCATGTTATTCTTACACAGTTACTTTTCAAATCATTTGAGAAAGGAGAAGGAGGATGTAGTGGATTAGCTTCTGAGGCCAGTTACTTATGGCTTAAAGAACTTTCCTTGGTATTTCTTGTCAGAATACCAAGTCTGCTAGTCTCAAACTCTCTTAACTTTTTGTTTATTTAGGAGCATTTTTTAATCTTCTTTAAAAAAAAATCTATGCCAGGGAGTGGTATAGATTAATGGTGCAAACCTTTAATCCCAGCACTCAGGAGGCAGAGGCAAGCAAATCTCTGAGTTCAAGACCAGCCTGGTCTACAGAGGGAGTTCCAGGACAGCCAGGACTACACAGAGAACCACAGTTTTGAAAAACAAAACAAACAAAAAACATAAAAAAAAATCTGTGTATATATTCATGTTTGTGTGAGAGTGGAGTCAGAGGACACTCGGTGCTATTCTTCACCTTCTCTGTGTTGGAGACGGTCTCGTTCAATGTGGTCTATACTAGGCTGACTGGGCCATGAGTTTCCAGGGATTCTCATGATTCCACCTCCCACTCACTGTAGGAGCACTGGAATGCCAGGCATGCTCAGCTCCGTGTCAGTTCTAAGGATCCAGCTCAGGATAGTAGAGTAAGTGCTTTACCCACTGAACATCTCTCCAGTAGGAAGTATGTCGATGTAACCTCAGGTCAAAGATTACTCTTTTTTTATTCTTATGCAGATGAGGATATAGCCCAGCTCTTGAATTCACTTCTGAAGAATTTTCTAGATAAACATTTTTTGTTGTTGTTAAATAACTTAATTCTTTATTGAGTCTTTTGGAATTTCACATCATGTACCCTAATTCTGCTCACCTCCCAGTCCCTCCATATCTGACCCTGACACCTGCAGCACCTCCCAAAAGAATCCTCCCCCCAAAAAAAATTAATTAAAAATGAAACAAAACAAAACCCCCACCTTGTTCCTCCGTTTTTCCCACCTCTTCAACACCTCTTTATTGGTCCTAGTGGCATTGGGAGCTGCAGTGTGTCATGCAGTATGCCCTTTTTGTCCCATCAGCCCACAAATGTTCATTGCAATGAGTCATTGGTCTGGTTCAAGGCCTCTGGCCTCTGGCACCATCATCACTGGACCCTCACTGAACTCCTCTCAGATATACTGCTCTTGCCCCAAGTCGTAGAGATCCTGCCGCTAACATTCCACAGGATCAGTGCTCCAGGGGGTCACAGATGGGGTAGATGTTAAGATGGGCCAATCCAAAGCCCAGGATGTGGGCCTGGGTGGTAGCTGAGCTGGTCAGTGCAGGCCAGAGGGACTGCCCCCCTCAGGCAAGTGGCAGGGCCAATTCTCCCCTGAGGGGCAAGGTCAGATCTGCTGCAGTGTCCAGCAAGGGGCAGGGCCAGCCATCCCAGGGCCACTGAAGGACAGGGCCAGCTCAGCACAGCCCCCAGACTCCAACACGCCATGCACTGGCCCCCAACCCCAGTGGCTACATGGGCCACAGACATCAACACAGTTCCCAGCTGCAGCAGGACCACGAACCCAAACATGGCCCTGGGTGGCAACACAGACCCCTCAGATGGGCATGGCCTCAGCAGCAGCATAGCCCTTGGATACCAATATGGCCACAGGTTGCATCACAGACCTTGGGCATCTGTGTGGTCTTTGGTGGCAATATGGACCACAGACATCAACACAGACCCTGGTTGCTCTAGGACTACAGACCCAGACATGGTCCTTGGCAGTAGCCTGGGCCTGGATGTCACCATTGCCCCAGGTGGCCACATAGCCCTGGACACCAGCATGGCCCCAGGTAATGGCCCAGACCCCAGGCATCAGCATGGCCCTTGGGATGATGACAGGAGCCACTGTTAACAACACAGTCCCTGACTGCAGAAGGGACCCCACATGGCCCTTGGCTTAAGCCCGGGTCCAGGCATCACCATGGTACCTTGTGGCAGTGCAGGCTACTCAGATCTATATGGCCTTGGCTACAGCATGACCCTCTGACACCAACATGGCCTCAGGTGGTGGTCCAGACCCTGAGTATTTGTATGGTCATCGGTTTATAATGGGAGCCACAGACATCGACACAGACCCTGGCTGTGGCAGGGTCACAGATGGCCCCACACCACAGCCTGGCCCGGATGTCACCATGGCCCCAGGTAGCAGCATGGACCACCCAGATCAGCATGACTTCTGGACCCCAACATGGACTCAGATGGCCAACCAGCCAGGCTTCGGCACAGCCCTCGGTGGTAACAGGAGCCATGGATGATAACAACTCAAATCCTGGCTGCTGCAGAGCCACAGACCCAGACATGGCCCTAGGCAGCAGCCCCGGCCCAGACATCACCCTGACCTAGGTTGGCAAGCAGGCTGCCCACATCAGCCTGTTCCTCACCACCCTCACTGCTTGAGTTCTACCTCTTTCCACAGCACACGAACTGCTCTGCCCCCTTTCTCTCTCCACCATATATTCGCTCATCATAACAACACCTACCTGCCTGGTGCTGCAAGGCACTGGGCGGGCCTGTGGATGTCTTCAGCTAGCCCGAACTGTCTAGATAAATATTCTTAGTCGGCGGCTTGCTATTTCAGCACTTCACACTGTTCCCCTGTCATGGGGCTTCCACCATTTCTGATTACAAGTTAACCATAACTTTTATTTGGGTTAATTTTGATATGACAAGTTATTTTTTTCTGCTTTCAAGATTTTCTCTTTGTGTTTGCACTGTTTCACTCATGTTTATAGGTTAGTTCACTTTGCCCTTTTGCTGTATAGGGATAGGTTGTGTGTGTGTGTGTGTGTGTGGCTGAGAACTAAATCTGTAGACATGTTGTACCACAGAATTACATTTACAGTCCCTTGGGTTAACTTTTTAAATGAAATTTGGGTAGTTTTTGCCATCATTCATTGCTTATATTTTCTGTTTCTCTCTTCTTTTTATGTTCCATGTGAACTGTTGTCTCCTTCTCTTCTGAAGCTATGTTCATCATGCAGTTAACCCTTAAACAATATATAGTTGAACTTTGTGGATCCACTTATGGAAATGTTGACAGGAGATTTATAATGATTTGAAAAAATTGACATACCCATGTTAGTTTAAAAATAACAAAAGGTACAAGAAAAAGGTTTTTCATGAATATGTATTTATATATAGATAAGAATTTTAGAATTTATTTCCATAAACTATATACATCTATTATCAAATACTAAAATTTATTAAAACTTAAATACTAAAAAGCATACATGGAGGCACTCAGTTAAAAGAACTGTAACTAAAGCAAACTGCATCAAATCAGCTAGTGCCCCTGATGCCGCAGCACGGCCTCACAGCTGCCTCTGTTGCTCTCTGCTGAGGCGGAACGCCACAGCTATCTGCTGAAAATGCCTTGTTCCTCTAACGAACAGTTTTTTCTCCATTAAATTGTGTACCACGGTGCTAAGAATACTCTGGAGAAAGGGTAGTCTCTTCAGT